AAAACACATCCAACATGAAAAGTTATACAAGATCTATGGGGTGAAGGGGGGGGCTTAGTACTATTTGTTATCTATTTACTGATCAAGTCCAAATAAATTGAGGGGTTCCTAAAATATGAACATGATAGAACCCAAATATTCACATACATTTCTAGTAGCAAGTATTTTAAGCGAAGAATCAAAATAAAGAAAATCACTTCAAACAGCCCTAATTCTTCACCAATGAGTTTTCATTTCTGTTATTCAGATAAACCTGACCTCTAATCAGCTTACATTTCCTTTAGGAATCAAACCACCTAACACTTAGAAACTACAGTTTTACTTCTGAGAAGGGAGACAAGTTTGTTTTGATTTGTTTTCTTATAGGATACGCTAGATATGCCGTACGTACTTAAGGGGGGAAAAATGAGTTGCCTCTACTTTTCCATCAAGAAAATGGGAATATATGGATTTCAAAGGACGACTTTTTTCCACAGTATTTTAAACTTGTAATCCCAGCCATCACCTCAACTTTACTAGCCTGCAACTTAGAAAAACGTCTAGGGGGAAGGTTGACCAGCACCCAAGATGGCACTGTCACAAATAACACCTCCCACAGCAGCCACCATTTTGAGCAGCAGGATATATTCACGCTACTCACGATTTTACACCAACTAAAAGAAAACGCAGGGCATCAAAGTCGTTGTTAAGCATCTTAACTTTCAGGATTCCCAAATCTTTTCATTTCCATGGTCTGCTTCTCTTCTTTAGTCACTATAACCTGCTGTCTCGTGAAAATGTTTATTACAAACACTCCGCCTGTTAAAATCACGTTCAAACTTTGAAAGCAAACGCTGTGGTGTAGGGTGCACTGCCTAAGTTATTCCATCTTCCTAAAAACTGGAGAAGCCTATGATTTAATCGCCTTGTTTTAATCAGCTCAAGCAACTGGCATTCGCCAAAGCCTGCCAGTGGCCCTACTTTATCAGTCCACATTCCTCTTCACTCCTTCATCCCAACCCCTTTGATCTTTTTTATTTTACCGATTTCATTAACGCTCTAAGGGCAAGTTCCCACACTTCATTTCTGTGAGAAGCAAATGATATTTCAAGACAACACGACCGAATCTAACAATATAAAAGTGAGGCAGAGAATTTCCGAGCAAACGAACGAAAACCAACCGGAAAATGGCAGAAAGTAAGATAAGTGGGGGTGGGGAGGCAAAAAAACATGGATGGGCTCCTCCAAAAGAGTGACCCTAATTTTGATTACTCCACGGACGAACCCTCTGGCAGAACTGGAAACAAAAACCGGCACACAGTTCCCATTTACCTTTGTCCAAAGGCAAAAGGTGGTAAGTCACCACACACAACCTGCCAACCAACCCATCAACCATTTCGCCCCCCCTTCCCAAAAAAATAAAAATAATAAATAATAAATAAAAGGAAGGAGGATGCTGCCGGAGCTGGCTGCTCGCCGTGGCCGTCGTGTGCCTTCCGGTCCGCACACTCCCGCCACCATCCCTGCCACCCGGACCCTCCAGTTTTAGTTCCTTATCACAAAGCCCCAGTGTGAAAGCACCTTCGGCCCGGCCGAAAAGCCATCCCTTCCCTCCACGCTCGCCCGGGGGCATAATGGTGGCGAGGCCAACTCAAAGAGTTCCCGAGCTGCCGGAATAAAGAGGGCTGAGCGGCGCGAGGGGGAAAGGGGGCTGCCGGAGAATAACGGGAGTCCCAAAGTTTCCCTCCGCAGCCGCCGGCGAGGACTCGGCGCCCTGCAGACGCCCCCGCGGGGAGCGCCCCCCGAGATCGGGCCCCCACCTCCGCCGCTCCGAAGTTCGCCCGAGCGGCCCCGAGAGTCGCTCGAGTGCGGTTGCCCCTCCACGCGCCCGGCCGAGCCGGCCGAGCCCTCTCCCTCCCCCACCGGCCCCGGCCGCCGCCCAGCCCCGGGTCCGACCTAAACCCAGCGCCGGCGCCCCCCGTGCGGCCGCCGCACCGCGTCCCCGCCCGGGGCAGCTGGCTCGGCGCTTCAATGGCCCCGGCAAGGGAGCGCGCGCTCGCTCCCCACCAGCCGCCTTCCGAGAAGTCCCGGGAGAACCGCCCGGTCCCGCTCCTACAAAAGCGCTCCCTCGGCCGCCTCCCTCGCTCTGGCCGCCCGCCTCGCCCCTGCCAGGAGCCGCGGCTCGGCAGTGTGGCCGCCCGAACGAACGTCCCGAGCCCGGCGCCCAGCGCCCGGCGCAGAGCCCGAGCGGCCCCGCCCGCCGCCTGCCCTTCCACCCCGCGCGCCCGCACCTCCGCGTCCTCCTCCCGGCTTCGGACTCCCGGCCAAAGTCGCTCCGGCCCCAGCACCCTCCTGCCCCGGGCGCCCCGAGAGGACACAGGGAGAAAGGGGAGCGGCGTGCGCCGCCTCGCTCGCCCGCCCCGCGCGGCCGCCGCTCACCTCGATCTCGAAGTCCGGCAGGCGGAACGCGGTGCGAAAGAGCGAGCAGAAGTGCGCGATGGCCGGGACTTCCCACCAGGAGCGGAGCTCGCCCAGCCCGGCCGCGCCGCCCTCCTCTGGGCACATCTCCCGGCCGCGGCGGCGGTGGCGGCGACCCCGAGCTCGACGCGCGCCTCGGCGGCCCCCACGCTGCCGGCGCGCAGCTCGCTCGCCTCGGACTCCCGCCGCGGCGCAGCGCCTCAGCGCCTCAGCGCCTCAGCTCCTCTGGCGGGGGCGGCGGCGGCGCGGCGCGGCGGCGGCGGCTGCTACTCCCGCGGCGGCCGCTGCTCGGCGTGAGCATGGGCCGAGGGCGGGCGGGGGCGGCGGGGCGGCGGGGCGGGGGCCCGAGTTACTGAGGCGGCTGCGGCTCCGGCAGCCGACCCGGTCCGCGCGCTCGCCCCATCCTGCGGCTGCGGCTGCGGCCGCCCCCCGTCCCATACAATATAATCGACTCTCGGCCGGGGAAAACAGATGGGGCTGGGGGCGGGGGCCGGGGCCGAACAGAGGGCCGGGGGGGAGGGGCCGCCCACGAGGAGGGGGCGGGGCTGCCGCTCACCACAACAACAACCCCCGCCCCCGCTCCCCACCCCCAGCCGGGACAGCTGCATTGGAGCCGGAGGGGGAGGGGCGGGGAATCGGGCCCCCGAGGGAGAGGAGTGGTGTGCCTTGAGGGGAGCAGGGTGCGTCCCCCCAAAACTGCTGAGAACCGCACTTCGCTTCTCAGGTGTTGGGCACGGCGGAGTTTAATGACTTGCGAGGGAGGACAATAAGGGTCTCTTCTGCCCCCCCCACCTGGCCTTAGTGGTCGCGTCCTTTTTAAAGGGCCCGCTGGGTGGTGCTTTCGACAGGGGCTAGATCCAGAAAACGTGCACGTGTGGGAGTTGAGTTATTATGGTGTTGAAGGGAGCGCAGGAGAGGGACTGGGTGTCTACGCTAGAAATACGAGGTCTAGAGAGATGGAAGTGGCTTCCACCTGTGCCTTAGCGCTTTTATTCCACGCGAGAACGGTGATTGAAGACGCTCGAAAGTGGCTCTTTGCTCCAACGAAGAGGGTGGTGGGGCTGGTTAGGCTGGAACCGAATAGGATGGAGGCTGGAGTGCGGCGGGAAGGGTGGGGTAGGGGGAGGCACCAATCAGCAGCCAAGCGAGCAGAGGACAACCCCCCCCCAGCCCCCAGGGAATGGACACGTGTGACCTCCCAGAAGAAGTCGCGCTTGGAGCCCTGCGACTGACCGCGGCCTGGAAGAGCGCGCACAATGTATTAGGACGTGGGTTGGGGGCGGGGAAGAGGATGGGAGTAAGAGCTAGGGGTTGGGGTCTGCGGGGGGTGCAGACCTGCTAGTCGGGCTGAAGGGCAGGGCTCCGGCTGCAGCCGGCCCAGGTGTGTGCTTTAGAAATGCTAACTGCTTCAGGACGTTGGAATTTACCCGAAGGAAAAAAAAAAATCACCTCAACCGCCGGCTGGAAGTTTAGAAAAACTACCTTGAGTGCCCAGATACTTGCTTGGGTCTTTGGCGCTCCCTAGTCTCGGAGGGCCTCAGCTGGGCTGCCCCCACAGGCGCGCTCGCTGAGCGACAGGCACAACGCCGTGACTGCCTCAGACATCTGCTACCTGTGAGCTGTGTGGACAGTGGCCAGCGCGTGAGGAGCCCCGCGGCTGCCGAGCCCGACTTGGGGGTGGTCTGCGTGTTCCCCTCTACCCCCACCCCCTCTTTATTCTGATCATTTTCATCACCTCAGATATTTACATATTTAAAAATTCTCAAAGAAAATGTACCAGTGTGTTCGCGTATTCAAGGATCTCACATCGTTTCCTAACATCTCTCTCCCTCTCTAGGCAGAGAAACCGCTTAAAAGTTTGTTCTTTCATTACTTGGAACTCCTTGATGTTTTAAAATGCATCCTCAAATTCTACCGTGTGTTTTAATCTTTGTTTAAAAAAAAAAAAATGAAGGGACATCTAAATCCTCCCAGGGAGTAGAGGCTGCGTTTTTGGATGTTGGTGAAGCACAGCTACTCTGGAGAGATGTGGGAAGGGCGTCTGGCCGCTGTGGCATTCATCCCGATTTAGATGCTTCCCGGACTTCCGTCACTCGATCTTCTCCTCAACTGTGACTGCTGTTCTTCACGTGTTTCTGACTGTTCTTCCCCGCTCCTGGTTTTTTCTGGTTGTCCATGTGTCTCCTCCGACCAGCCTCGCGCGGGCTTACCTGGCCTCTGGGCTGGCGCTGCTAGCCAGGCTAGTCGTCACAGTGCCTCGGAGGTTAACAATACCGGGAGGCAGAAGGCGAGAAGCCTGGTCACTCTAGTTAACTGCAGCCACCCACACCCACCACTCCCCGTGGGAAGCCTGCGCCATTGTCCTTATCCTTCCTCCCCAGGTCCTGGAGATCAACAAAGCTGTCCTGGACCTGCAGGTGCCCCCTGGTGGTGGCCAGAAGTTTGTCTCCCGGTCTCGAGCCCTCGGCAGGATATGCCTGGCAGTCTCGTGGTGTTCGTCTGGTCAGTACTTCACACCTATCTCCCTACATCATTCTCTGACTCTGAAACAGGCTCCATAGTTTTCGCCTGATTCCTCCCTGGCAGGCTCACTCCTCACCACCCTGCTCTTTGCCTAGCGCCTGGGACTTTCCTAGCCCCAGGAGCTGAGGTTTAAAGTATACTGGGTCTGGCTGTACCTCTGTATCTGAGGGCCCTGGGTTTCAGCTCCAGCTAGAATCTCATGTCTCATGAGATGGTCTCATGTCTCGGACCCTTTGGAATTGATATCCTGAATCTTTAATTTTAGCTTCCCCCCCCCCCAACATTTGAGAGACAAAGAGAGGGCATTCCTATCCACTGGCGGAAGTCAAGGACCGGAAAGTCAGTCAAGGTCAGTGCCAGGAACCCGACTACTTGAGCCATTGCCTGCTGCCTCCCAGGGTGCACCTTAGCCAGGAGCTGGAGACAGCAACCAGGGCTGGCAGTTGAAACCAGATACTCTGATGTGGGCCATGGGTGTCTTAGCCACTAGACCAAACATTGCCCCAATGCTTTGAACATTTGTCTCACCATTCCCCTTGGACTTAACTGCCTCAGATCAATTTCCTGGACTCATTTTCAGCCTAGTCTAGAATCTACATGAATCTGCATGAAGGTAGTCTAGAATCTACATGAATGAAGCTACATGATTGACCCTTGTAGTAGGAGGTTGGACACTTGCTCTCCTTCCTTTCTCCCTTTGAGTCCTCGTAGTAGTGCCTGCTTGGCTGCTTCTAGCTTGGCCCGTTCTTTTGCCTTCTAAACACTAGTTAAATCTCCTTCCTTAGAAACACATACAGCTTCTGCCTTTTTTCCTTCCCTCTCTCTCTTTTTGAGCCAGTATAGTAAACTCAGATGACCTTGAACTACCTAGAAAATCTTTCAGGTTCTCTATAACCGTCAGTTGCATATCCTCTTCTAATTAACTGTTTTCCATTAAGAAAAAAAACACACACACACACACACACACAACAATTAGTTTGGCTTTTTTGTTTTGCTTTTAAAGTTGCAAAAATATACTTCCCATGCAAAATGTGAAGTAATTCCAGCTATTGCCAGATTTATATAGATTCCTGGAAGATGAGTTGCAAAAACTAGCTACCTTTTTATAACATTGTTTCTTTGGGAAATGCCTTGGGAGTTCCACAAGATCAATTGAAAAACTTGTAGCCTGGTTGATTTGAACTATGGAAGAGATGAGACAAACAGAAATGGCTTCTTCCTTCACCACTGCTAACCGAGACTAGAACCCAAATCTTCTAACCACTCATACAATTGTCTGTCTATAGTTTTTCACTTCTTTTTAAGTGTGCTTTCTCTCCGTTAACCTGCCAACCAGATGTGTATACTCCTTATTTCAGTCCCAGGTTCAAACTGGAGCTAGAACAGAGTATAACTGCTGGGTTAGCACTTGTTTAATATCTACAACGAAGTCCAGGTGCCTCACAAATTCTTAGCACCCCTTCAAACCTATCCCTGCTTTTCCCATTAGGGAGTGATGTTCCATAATGTCACTGTTCCCAAAGAGGGCTATCAGGCTGACTTAGAACTTTAGAAAGTGAATGAAGATTAGTAGTCAGGAAATTTTGGTTTTCTCTAAGAAAAGGCTTTCTCTGTACCTCATCTGTGATAGGAAGGGCTCGAATTAAATGATGCCTAAATTCTATCCTTTTGTCTTTAAAATAAAGCCAGGGTGGAGATCTTCCCTCTACTGGTTTTCTCTCCAAACGCTGCAACAGCCTGGGCCAGGCCAAAGCTGGGAGCCTGGAACTCAATCTGGATCTCCCACATGGGTGGCAGGGCCCAAGCCCTGCTGGAGTCAGGAGCCAGAACCCAAAGCCAGGCGCTCGCTCACTCACTCGCTCCATCTTCACTGCTACACAAGAGCTGGCCCTGCAGGTGTTCTCATGCTTTCTAGAAACACCCTGACTGTGGCGCCCTCCCTCCGAGTGTTCTTACTAAGGCAGTACAGTGCCTGTGAGTCACTTATCAAGTACTCCCTTAGGCCACCTGGCTTTCATTTATTTTGAAGTTTACTTAAACTATTTACTATAATTCAAGTTCGTCTTGTCTTCTTCACTACATTGGACTTTTCTGGGGTGGATCCTCCCTGGTTTGTACCATTAAATGATTAATTTGATTATGCACTGATAATTTAAGTCATGGCACAAAATCAAAAGAAATTCAGAACTTCTTTAAATGTCTGAGGTGGGACTTTCCTTCACTCCTCCCATGACATTCTACTTTTTCCCTCATGGAACTCATTCACTCTCCCAGCCTTGTAAGTCATGCCTTTCTCAGTATTTTGTATCCCTTGTTGGAGTCCCTAGATTTGAGTCCCAGCTCCAGTGTCAGTTCAGCTTTGTGCTGATGTATACTTGGGGAGGTAGGAGATGGTGGCTCAAGTACCTGAAGACCTGCCACCCATGTGGGGGACCCAAATGGAATTCCCAGCTCCTGCCTTCAGCTTGGTCCAGTCCAGCTGCTATTGGCATTTGGAGCAAGAACCAGCAGTTGGAAAATCTCTTTCTATTTTTCATATAAATAAATATAAAAATTTTTAAATATTCTTTTTTAAAGATTAATCTTTATTTATTTGAAAGGCAGAGAAAGAGAGAGAGAGGGAGGGAGAGACAGAGAGAGATCATCCATCCACTGGTTCACTTCCCAAATGGCTACAATGGCTGGAGCTGCGCAAATCCAAAGCCAAGAGCCAGGAACATCTTCCAAGTCTCCCATGTGGGTGCAGGGAAGGAGCTGGGCCATCTTCTACTGCTTTTCCAGGCCATGGCAGAAAGTTGGATCGGAAGTAGGGCAGCTGGAACTCGAACCAGTGCCCAGATGGGATGCCGGCACTGCAGGCAGTGGCTTTACCCCCTAAGCCACAGTGCCAGCCCCAGGAACAGCTACATTTCAGTGCTGAATTCATTCCAAATGGTTAATATAAGGTCACCACAAAACACACCAAACACTGCAGTTAGAGGAAAGGTTTATTGTAGGGTGAGTCAGCCCAATGGGCCAGGGTGGGGTGGGGGGTGAGAGAGAAAAAGAGAGGAAGAAAAGAGAGGGAGGAGGAACAGGTCCTGTTAAGTCTTGTTGGGGGGACAGAGGGCAGGCAGGGAAGTAGGAGCAGCAAATCCCATTAAGATGGGGGTGGAGCTGACAACGGTGGTTGGGCCAAGTGTCACCTGGCTTCCAGCAGTGGGGGGGGGGTGCTAGAGCCTAGGATGGTATACAGGGTGTAGATCGCACCACAAATAAGACAGTGCCATTTTACTAACAGTTAGTAGCTACCATACTCCTATTAGACAGTGTAGGTCTATAGTAACCAAAATGACCAGTACTCACTTTGTCCTGATAATTACTGGTTCTTGACCTCTCTTCCCTTTGTTTATTTTAATTATTTAAAATATTTATTTACCTATTTATTTGAATGGTAGAGTAACAGAGAAAGAGGGAGAGACAGATCCCAATATTTGCTGGTTCACTCCCCAAATGCCTGGACCAGGCTGAAGTCAGGGTCCAGGAACTCCATCTACATCTCCCATTCTCCCACATCCAGGGCAGAAACCGGAGTATTTGAGTCATCATGTGTTGCTCCTGGGTGGGTTAGCAGGAAACTGGATCAGAAATACAGAAAGGACTCAGTCCCAGGCACTCTGATATGGCTGTAGACATCCGAAGTGGGAGCTTAACTAACTGTGCTACAATACCTACATTTACAAATGTTTTGTTTTGTTTCGTTTTTTAATATTTTCATCTGCATTTATTTTGCTATAACTAAAGTGAAAATTTTTCTCCTGGGTTTTGTTTTTTTTTTTTTTTTCATTTGAAAGTTAGAGTTATACAGAGAGAGAGAGAGAGGTCTTCCATCTGCTGGTTCACTCCCCAATTGACCTCAGTGGCTGGAGCTGCACCAATCTGAAGCCAGGAACCAGGAGCTTCTTCCAGGTCTCCCATGTGGGTGCAGAGGCCCAAGGACTTGGGCCATCTTCTTTTTTCTTTTTTCTTTCCTTTTCTTTCTTTTTTTCTTTCTTTCTTTCTTTCTTTCTTTCTTTCTTTCTTTCTTTCTTTCTTTCTTTATTTTTGACAGGCAGAGTTAGAGAGAGAAAGGTCTTCCTTTTTCCATTGGTTTACCCCCCAAATGGCTGCTACAGCTGGCGCGCTGCGCTGATCCAAAGCCAGGAGCCAGGTGCTTCTCCTGTTCTCCTATACGGGTGCAGGGCCCAAGCACTTGGGCCATCCTTCACTGCCTTTCCGGGCCACAGCAGAGAGCTGGACTGGAAGAGAAGCAACTGGGACAGAATCCAGTGCCCCAACCAGGAATAAAACCCGGGGTGCCAGTGCCACAGGCAGCATATTAGCCAAGTGAGAGGCAGCGCCGGCCATTGGGCCATCTTCTTACTGCTTTCCCAGGCCACAGCAGAGAGCTGGATCGGAAGAGGAGCAGCCGGGACTCGAACCGGCGCCCAAATGGGATGACAGCGCTTCAGGCCAGAGAATTAATCCACTGCAACACAGTGCCAGCTCCAAATGTTTTAACTGTATTTGAAAGGCAGAGATATAGAACAGAGACTGACAGAAACTCTCATCAGCTGGTTCACTCCACAAGTGACCACAAGGGACTAGGCCAGGCCAAAGTCCAGAGCCCAGAATTCAATCCAGTTCTGCTATGTGGCAGACCTAATTCAATACTTGATCAATTAGGCAGGAACCTAATTAAATACTTGATCCATCACTGCTGCCACCCAAGGTACCCATTAGCAGGAGACTCCACCCAGGGTGGAGAACTGAGCTCGGGCACTGTGGGGGATGCAGGCATCCCAAGCAGCCTCTTAACCCATGTACCAAATGGCTGCCCCTTGACCTCCTCTTAAAGGCTGCAGGCTGGGCTTCGCTAACCACTCTGGCTTGAGGCAGCATCTCCCAACTTAACCTCTGTTAAAAATGCTGATTTCTCTTTTCCCTGGCGCCTCCGAGACCATCAGCTACTTCAAAATGAAGCTGGATATCTCCTTCCCAGCCTCTGGCTGCCAGAAACTCACTGAAGTGAACAATGAACTTAAACTTCATACTTTTGATGAGAAATGTATGGCCACAGAAGTTGTGGCTGGCATTCTGGTGAAGAACGGAAGGGTTATGTGGTCCGAATCGACGCTGGGATTGGTGAACAAGGTTCTCCCATGATGCAAGCTGTCCGAACCTCTGGCCGGGGCTGCGTCCTGGTGAGTAAGGGGCATTCCTGCTACAGACCAGGGAGAACTGGAGAATGCAAGTGCAAATCTGTTTGGGACTGCATTGTCGATGTCAATTTGAGTGTTATCAACTTGGTTATTGTAAAAAAAAAAAAAAGAGAGAGAAAAATATTCCTGGATTGACTGATACCATAGTGCCTCATCTCCTGGGTCCTGAAAGAGCCAACAGAATTCTAAAAACTTTAAAATTTCTCTAAAGATGATGTACGCCAGTATAAGAAAGCCCTTAAACAAAGAAAGAAAGAGGGGCTGGTGCTGTGGTGTAGCAGGTAAAGCCACCGCCTGCAGTGCTGGCATACCATATGTGCACCACTTTGAGTCTCAGCTGCTCCACTTTTGATCTCTGCTGTGGCCTGGGAAAGCAGCAGAAGATGTCCTTGCAAGGGCCCCTGCACCCCTGTGGGAGACCCAGATGAATCTCTAGGCTCCTGGTTATTTGCGGAGTGAGCCAGCAGATGAAAGACTTCTCTCTCTCTCTCTCTGTCTGCCTCTGCCTCTCTCTAATTCTGCCTTTCAAATAAAATAAATAAATCTTAAAAATAATTAAAAAGAAAAAAAAAAGAAGGCAAGAAACCTTTGTTTTATTTTTAAAAGATTTATTTATTTGAAAGTCAGAGTTGCTCAGAGAGAGGAGAGGCAGAGAGAAAGGTCTTCCATCTGATGGTTCACACCCCGGATGGCCACAACGGCCAGAGCTGTGCTGATCCGAAGCCAGGAGCCAGGAGCTTCTTCCGGGTCTCCCACGTGGGTGCAGGGGTCCAAGGACTTGGGCCATCTTCTACTGCTTTCCCAGGCCATAGCAGAGAGCTGGACAGGAAGTGGAGCAGCGGTTTCTCGAACCGGCGCCCATATGGGATGCAGGCACTTCAGGCCAGGGTGTTAACCCACTGCACCGCAGCGCTGGCCCCAAGAAACCTTTGTTTTATTTTATTTATTTATTATTTATTTATTTATTTATTGACAGGCAGAGTGGACAGTGAGAGAGAGAAAGGTCTTCCTTTTTCCATTGGTTCACCCCCCAATGGCCACCGCAGCCGGCGTGCTGCGGCCAGCGCACCGCATTGATCCTAAGCCAGGAGCCAGGTGCTTCCTCCTGGTCTCCCATGTGGGTGCAGGGCCCAAGCACTTGGGCCATCCTCCACTGCCTTCCCGGGGCCACAGCAGAGAGCTGGACTGGAAGAGGAGCAACCGGGATAGAATCCAGCGACCCGACTGGGACTAGAACCCAGTGTGTCGGCGCCACAGGCAGAGGATTAGCCTAGTGAGCCACGGTGCCAGCCGAAACCTTAGTTTTAAAGGTTGTTGTAGGGGCCAGTGCTGTGGTGCAGTGGGTTAACTCCCTGGCCTGAAGTGCCTGCATCTCATATGGGCACCAGTTCAAGTCCCAGCACTCCATTTCTGATCCAGCTCTCTGCTATGGCCCAGGAAAGCAGTAGAAGATGGCCCAAGTCCTTGGGCCCCTGCACCCATGTGGGAGACCCGGAAGAAGCTCCTGGCTCCTGGCTTCGGATCAGTGCAGCTCTGGCCATTGCAGCCATCTGGGGAGTGAACCAGCGGATGGATGACGCCTCTCCTCTCTTTGTGTAACTCTGACTTTCAAATAAATAAATAAATATTTAAAAAAAAAAAAAAAGCTTGTTGTAAAGCCCAAGATTCACCATCCAATTACTTCACACATTCTGCGACACCAATGCCAATAAACTACTCTAAGGAACAGGGAAGAGGCTGCAGAATGTGCTCAACTTTTGGCCAAGAGAATGAAGAAGGCTCAAGAAAAACACCAGGAACAGATGACCAAGTGATATAGGCTGTCTTCTCTGAGAGTGCCTACTTCGAAATCTGAGTCCAGTCAAAAACAAGGTTTAATAATAACAAATAAATAAGATTGGGATTTCAAGGGAAAAAAAGAATACTGGCCGGCGCCGTGGCTCACTAGGCTAATCCTCCGCCTGCGGCGCCGGCACACCAGGTTCTAGTCCTGGTTGAGGCACCGGATTCCGTCCCGGTTGCCCCACTTCCAGGCCAGCTCTCTGCTGTGGCCAGGGAGTGCAGTGGAGGATGGCCCAAGTCCTTGGGCCCTGCACCCCATGGGAGACCAGGATAAGTACCTGGCTCCTGCCATCGGATCAGAGCAGTGCACCAGCTGCAGTGTGCCAGCTGCAGCCGCCATTAGGGGGTAAACCAAAGGTGAAGGAAGACCTTTCTCTCTGTCTCTCTCTCTCTCTGTCCACTCTGCCTGTAAAAAAAAAAAAGAATTCTGATTTCCCTAGCTAAATCCCAGCTCTTCCCCTGGGACCAGCCCATGGGGCTCCTATATTTCTATCCCCTCCGTGCCCCCCTAGGGCAGTCTACAAGTAATTAGTCATAAGAAAATGTAGATAGATGTGTGGGTGTTACTAATCTTTAACATTCACAGAAAACACTGTCTCTTTTGATCACAAAGCCTGTAGTATCATTTTTAAAGTGTAGGCCTGCTTGTGATTACTATGTAACCTTGTCAGCTAGGAGTTATTAAGAGGGCTCTTCAGACTTCCATATAAACTTGATTTTGTATTTCCACTTAATTTCTCCACTGTACGGTGATTTCCGTAATGCATTTTGGGGTTGTTTTCCCTGATCTTGATCTTCTGCTTGCATCGCATCCCCCATTTGGTTCCTGTTTTTATTATCATCGAATTCTGTGCACCGCTTCATGTCGTGGGGCATCAGGCTAAGTTGTGAACAAATGAAATTGTGCAGCTATACATTCACTATTTTTACTTTAAGGCCAACAACACAGGGCACACAAGGGCAGTGACTGAGCAAGAGGTAGATCCTAAAGGGATTAAATGAAGTTTCCCTTTCTCATCTCACCATTGCTTATCTGTATGTCTCCTGTTCCAGCGTCTGTTCCAGCTGTCTCTCCAGCTGCCGTGGGACGAAAGCTTCCACCCACCGCAGAAAACTAGTCATGCTTGAAGATTCTGCAAAACAAGTTTGAGAGGTGAGGGTGGGTTCCTAAAGGATGGACAGACCCTTGGTTGTGGTTGGGCAAGAAGATGATAGGCAACGATAGATCATTTATTCAGAAAGGGGCAGGGCCGGCGCCGCGGCTCAATAGGCTAATCCTCCACCTTGCGGCGCCGGCACACTGGGTTCTAGTCCCGGTTGGGGCGCCGGATTCTGTCCCGGTTGCCCCTCTTCCAGACCAGCTCTCTGCTATGGCCCAGGAAGTGCAGTGGAGGATGGCCCAAGTGCTTGGGCCCTGCACCTGCATGGGACACCAGGATAAGCACCTGACTCCTGCCTTCGGATCAGCGCAGTGCGCCGGCTGCAGCGCGCCAGCCTCGGCGGCCATTGGAGGGTGAACCAACGGCACAAGGAAGACCTTTCTCTCTCTCTCTCTCACTGTCCACCCTGCCTGTAAAAAAGAAAGAAAAGAAAAGAGGCAGAAAGCTTTACAAGGAAAAGCAAAACAAAAACCAAACAAAGTATCTAAGGATTTTCTGCCAGTAAATGCAGGCCAGAAATGTCTTTGGCTGCCCACATTCATTGCACTGTATGTAAACGTCCCCCTGTTTTCAGAAATTGCTGTAGGCATTTCTTCTGTTACCTCTTGTAAAGCCCAGATTGATGTGGAAACACCCTCAAAGGGAACACCTGTCCTCTCCACCTGTCTTCACCCTCCCTCAGAGCCTCTTAAGAGGAACAGGGGCTCTCATTACTGTGAATCGTGAGGCCTTCCTCAGGGCCTTCATAACAGGGCTGCTAGGGAGCGAGGCTACGGGAGCGGTTCTCTACTCTTGCCCTTAAGACTGGGAATTTGTTATTGCCACTGAAGCTCAGTGTCAGACCTGAAACCCTCCTGACCCAAGAGGGAGCCTCCTGGCTGCTGTGCGTCTGCTTCAGCCAGCCTGGACCAGAGCTGTGGGCTGCCTGGGAAGGCCCACTGTGTTAACAGAGAATGCAGCCTTAAGGGAGATCATTGCAAATGTTAGTGAGTTTACTATTCAGTGGGTGAAAATCAAAAGGAGGCCAAGGGAGTTCTTCCTATCTTGATTTCGAACTGGGCTCCTTGCTTGATTTTAGTGCTTGCCAAAGAGTTCTTGTTCAACTCTAGCCCACAGCAGTGCCTAAGAATTAGCTCTCCCACTGCCCCGGGTTCTTCCCAAATTCCTCTCTGAATTCCTGGAGTGTCCAGCTCTGGCTTATCTTATTGTGGCATCTCCTCTTGTTCTTGACACCAGGTCAAATAGCTTTGTAGCATCTCAATTCTCGGTGCCATTCAGAAGATGGTGAATCTTAATGAGTGTGTCCCTAATCTCTTTTCAAAGGGGCTACAATCCTTAATTTCTCCAACTTTCTTTTTAATCATTTTAGTTCCTTGTGTCACTTCTATAGCTTCAAACTGTCCCTACTCAGTTTACAGGTCACATTATTTTGCTTGACAAAGTACCCAAGGTTGTTGCGTACATGTGGCCTCAAACTCCTAAGCTGGGCCCAAGATGTCTCTCTGATTTATTTCATTCAGAAATATAGAAATATATGTTCAGGTAGAAAATCTAGTCTCAGGCCTCAAGGAGTTTCTTAAAAAAAAAAAAAAGATTTATTTATTTGAAAGTCAGAGTTACACAGAGAGAGAAGGAGAGGCAGAGAGAGAGAGAGAGAGAGAGAGAGAGAGGTCCTCTATCCACTGGTTCACTCCCCAGTTGGCTGCAATGGCCAGAGCTGTGCCAATCCAAATCCAGGTGCCAGGAGTTTCTTCCTGGTCTCTCACATGGGCGCAGGGGCCCAAGGACTTGGGCCATCTCCCATAGCAGAGAGCTGAATCAGAAGTGGAGCAGCCAGGACTCCAACCAGCGCCCTTATAGGATGCCAGCACCACAGGCCTTACCCACTACGCCACAGCACCAGCCCCAAGGAGTTTCTAATGCAAGCAGTAAAACAGTAAGTTTGACAGCATAATATTGACTATAAGTAGAATAAATGATGCTGAAGTTATAAAGAGATGTTGGATATATTCTAGTTGAATTGCTCCTTTTGGAGATGAGTTCAGAGAAGGAAAAATTTAGCATTTGCAAGAATGTTTGGGGGAGGCTTCATGAGAGAGAGCTCCCAACAGCTGGTGCACTCCCTAAATTCCTGCAGCTGCCAAGACAGAGCTGGTCTGAAGCCAGGAGCCAGGAACTCCATCCAGGTCTCCCATGCGGGTGGCAGGGGCCCAACCAGTTGAGCCCTCACCTGCTGCCTTGCAGGGTGTGCATTAGCAGGAAGCTGGAGTCAGGACCTGGGGATGGCTGCTGAACCCAGGTGCTGGCTCCACCATGAACCTTGGTCACCCTAACTAGCATGTTAATTACTAGGCCAAACTCTAACTCAGGAAAAGGGGTCTTGAATTGGTGAGAAACATGATTGGCTATCTTTATTCAGAGTTTAAGTGCATACATGAAATTGTATTGAGTTTAACCCAATTAATTTAGAAAAAACTTTTAACCTAAAGTGATACTTAGTAGTGCTGAGCCACCCAATACTTTAGTAGTGCTGAGCCGCCCACGCATAGTAGGGAAAGCAATAAAATGTAAAGGCAAGAGCAGTGTACTAGGATTTGAAAGACATGAGATTCTGGTTATAGCTTTATTTTATTTCAGGCTTTTGGGCTAATTAACATGCCACTTGGGATGTCTGTATTCTATATTGAAGTGCCCGGGTTTGAGTCTCAGGTCTGCTTTCAATTCTAGCTTCTTCCTTATGTGTACCTTGGAAGACAGCAGGTGGTAGCTCAAGTCTTGGATCCCTGCCACTCACTTGGAAGACCTGGATTGAATTCCAGGGTCCTGGCTTTGGCTTGGCACAGCCCCAGCTATTGCAGGCATTTTAGCAGTGAACCAGTATATGGAAGAAAGATCTCTCTCTCTCTCTCTCTCTCTCTCTCTCTCTTTCTCTCTTTCCCTCTCCCTTTATATATATCCACATGTGTGTGTCTGCCTTTCAATAAAATAAATAAGGGGTTGGCAGTGTGGCACAGTGAGCTAAACTGCTGCCTGCAATGCTGGTATCCCATGTGAGAATTCTCTTTCAAATCACAGCTGCTCTTCTTCCAATCCAGCTTCCTGCTAATGTGAACAGGAAAGCAGAAAAAGCTGCCCAAGCACTTGGGCCCCTGCCACCCATGTGGGAGACCTGGGTGGAAATCCTGCTCCTGACTTTGCCTTGGCCTGGTCCCATCGTTTGCGGCCATTTGGGGAATGAACCAATGGGTGAAAGACCTCTCTTTCCCTCTCTCTGTCTCTCCCTTGCTCTCTATAACTCTGCCTTTGATATAAATAAATAAATACTTAAGAAATAAAATTTTAAAAAGAAACATGCAAACACACTTTCTAGCTAAAGCCTAGAGGGTGAACTATGGAAAATACATTGATGCTATCAATCCATTTGCAGGAGTTGAATGTTTGTACTTCAAAACCCACAACACATGGTACAGAGTGGAACCTTTTTTTTTTTTTTTTAAGGTTTATCTATTTATTTGGAAAACAGAGTTACAGAGAAAGAGGGACAGACAGAGACAGATCTTCCATCTGCTGGTTCACTCCCCAAATGGCTACAACAGCAAGGACTGAGCTAGGCAGAAGTCAGGAGCCAGGAGCTTCTTCTGGGTCTCCTATGTGGGTGCAGGCGCTGGTGCACTTGAACCATCCTCTGCTGCTTTCCCAGGTGCATTAACAGCGAGCTGGATCTGAAGTGGAGCATCCAGGAGTTGAACCAGCGCCCATATGGGATGCCAACGCTGCAAACAGCTGCTTCACTATGCTGCACCACAACTCCAGTTCCAGAGTAGAACCTCTTGTGGCATCTCTGGTTGAAGCTGAAATAGAGAGGACAGACTTATTCAAGGTGGGTGCTCATAGGATTTCCAGTGATTGATCAACACTGGTAGAAGAATGAGAGATCATAGGAACCCAGATTGAGTTCCAGGCTCCTGACTTCAGCTTGACCCAGCTCTGGCCATTGTGAGAATTTGGGGAGTGAACCAGCAAATGGAAGATCTCTGTTTCTTCCTGCCTCTCTGCCTTTCAAATAAATAAAGGTTTTTATAAAACAGTATAAATGATTTTCTGTATATGCTTATCCATAATCAGGACAGGTTATGAAAGAAAACAAGATTAATAAAAGGGAAAAATGGTATGCATTGCATTTTCAAAATTAAGGTGTTAGTGAGGTAAAGAATATTGTTATGCAGAGGCTGGCTAACAAGATGGAGCACAGAAAAGAATGGAAATTAGAACTGTATCATGATTTTATGGTCCAAAGATGCCCTTAAAGGGCTTCGGAGTCAACATCCCATCCACTGAGGAACTCCTCCCACACCACCTCCGAGGAGATGTCTCAGCCAATGGTTGTAGTTTTGATCAATTCTAATTACTCAGAGAATCTTCTTTTATGGTGATGTGACATCCGCCTCTCTGTAAATTTAACTCATTGATCCTTAATTTAAGAACAAGATAAAAAAAAAGTAGTACTTTCTCTTTCCCATAAGAGCTGCCTGATGGCTCTAAGATTTCTCTTTCCAAAGTCAATACTCCCAGTTCATTCATTCTATATATATCCACTCACTTATTCAGCACAGGTCGCAGGTCTGAGCTGTACACTATTGTATTCCTCACACCCAGAACACAACTTGATCATAGTAAATCAAGCCAAAACCAAAAGTCATTTGTTGAAGGCCTTTTCCCTGCCTTGTGTGGCACTTGGCTCCAGATCTAGATTTACAAAGTTTAATAAACCAAGGTCCATGTATGACAGCAAGGAAAGCCTGGAGAAGAAGGCAAACACATAAATCAAGGATTAGAGTTTTAAGTGTAGGCACAGCGGGCTGTGGAGCCCAGCTGAAGACTGTGGATGCTTCCCAGGGAAGAAGATGCAGAGTAGAGTTTGAAGGATGTACTGCCAACTGGGTGGAGAAGAGGGAGCCAGGAAGATGGTGGTGTAAAACAGCTGAGTAGGGGCCTGCGATGTGGCGTAGTAGGCTGTCTCTGCCTGTGGTGGCAGCATCACAAATGGACACCAGTTCAAGTCCCAGCTGCTCCTCTTCCACTCCAGCTCTCTTTTGATCCAGTTCTCTGCTTAGGCCAGGGAAAAGAGTAGAAGATGGCCCAAGTGCTTGGGCCCCTGCATGTGGGAGACCTGGAATAGCTCTTGGCTTTGGATCAGCCCAGCTTCTGCTCTTACGGCCATTTGGAGAGTGACCCAGTGGATGGAAGACCTCTCTATGTCTGTAATTCTAGCTCTCAAATAAATAAATGAAATCTTAAAACAAAACAAGAACAGCAGAGTAGTCAGAGCACCTGGTGTGGAGCATTTCTATTGGTTGTGAAGGGCTCTGGAGCCACAGCATGAAGAACTAGTGCTGCTAAATTCAGGTTGAAGCTTTATGCTAAAACTTTTGGTAAGCCATTACAAGATTAAAAAAAAAAAAAAGATTTATGTATCTGAAAGTTGGAGTTATACCCAGAGAGAAGGAGAGGCAGAGAGAAAGACAGAGAGGTCTTCTATCCACTGGTTCACTCCCTAGATGGCTGCAAAGGCCAGAGCCGGGCCAATCTGAAGCCAGGAGCTTCTTCCGGGTCTCCCACATGGGTGCAGGGGCCCGAGGACTTGGGCCATCTTCTGCTGCTTTTCCAGGCCTTAACAGAGAGCTGGATCAGAAGTGGAGCAGCTGGGACTCAAACTGGCACCCATATGGGATGCCGGCACTACAGGCAGCAGCTTTACCAGCTATGCTACAGCGCCAGCCCCACCATTACAAGATTTTAAGCAAAAGCATTATATGAATGCTTTTTATTGGTCAAAAATGGTCAGAATTTTAGAGAATGGTTTGAAGAAGCGAAGGGAACAAATAGGCTGAAGGCAGAAAGTGTAATACTGAAGTCAAAAATACTGAATTCAATAATTCTGGGAAGAAGCAATGAGGCCCTAACCTAGGGCAATAGCAGAGGGAATGGAGAGAAGAGGATGTGTAGACAGTATTGTGGAGTTAGAAGTTTCATCAGGGTCTGGCTTTGTAGTGCAATGGGTTAAGCTGTTACCTGCAACACCTGCATCCCATGTGGGTGCTGGTTTAAGTCCCAGCTGTTCCAACTCCAATCCAGCTCCCTGCTAATGGGTGTGGGAAAGCAGCCTGAATACTTGGGCCCCTGCCACCCATATGGGAGACCTGAATGGAGCTCCTGGCTTCAGCCTGGCCCAACCTCAGCTGCATTTGGAGAGTGAACCAATGGATGCAAATCTGTGTGTGTGTGTGTGTGTGTCTGTAACTCTTTCAAATAAATACATATCAAAAAAATTTAAAAAAAAATCTTCATTAGCTCTGGTGACTGATTGCATAGTGCTTGAGAACAGGATGTCTAAGTGACTTGCCTGAAGGAGCAAGGGATGCTATTGCATCCTGAAACGAGGAGTATGGCTTTTGAGAGAAAGTTGAGACAAACACGTTCATACACAGGAATACTGAGGCACTGTGAGCATTCAAGGGTAGCCATGCAGCTCAACACACAGACCAACGGTGTGTGTAAAAGACAGCCCTGACCCAGCTTCAGCCATTATGGGCATTTGAGTGAACTGGTGATGGAAGCGCTTGCTCTTTCTCTCTCTCTGCCTCTCACACAAATTAATTAAATAAATATCCTGTTCGGCTTTGCCAAGGTTCTTCTTGTGATTGTACTTTAAAAACAACATAGAAGCTGTTTTACCAATGCACAGTTCAATAGTATTTTTTCTTTTCCTTGATATATGATAACCACATTTGGTTTTTTGGAAACACAATTTCTTTTAGTCAGAACTTTGCAATGGTGAGGTTTTTTTTTTTTTTTTTAAGATTTATTTATTTATTTGAGAGGCAGAGAGAGAGAGGGAGGGAGAGGCATAGAGAGAAAGAGAGAGATCTTCCATCTGCTGTTCACTCCCTAAATGCCCTCAACAACCAGGGCCAGCAGGAGCCAGGAACTCCATCTAGGTCTCCCACATGGGTGGCAGGGACCTAAGCACTTGGGCTGGCATCCACTACCTTACCAGGTACATTAGCAGGGAGCCGAATCTGAAGTGGAGTAGCCAGGACTTGAACCCCCAATTTTTAAATAGACCCAGGCTAATGGCTCCTCTCATTACTTTTCTTTACTTTATTTTTGGAATCTGATTACACAATCTTACATTTACTTACTGGCAATGACCCTCATAACCTGCACTAAACAGGCCTTCCGTGCTGTTAAAATAAAGGTGCCACATGTTAAGATTGTGTGGAGAATGTAACGAAGTTTCAGAAAAGCTTCTTAAGAGAGGATGTAGAGAAGAGGATGCATTGTTATTGCTGGAGAAAAATCATGTTAAATGAGCTAACAGGCTCTGCCATAGACAATTACGGTTTTTCAGACTCATCTGGGTCCTGACAAGGCTTAGACTCCTTTGCTGAGCCCTGCTCCCACTGCTGCTATGCTCCGTTGCTGCCTCTCAAGTCAAGGCCCTCCTTAAGCCCAGTGGAACCCTCTCTCTCTCAACACATATCCTCAAGTACCGCTGAGCAAAGAGTGGCAGCAGTGATCCTGTCGCTGACCTCTACCCGACCTCACCTTTCAACCCTGTCTGCCAAGACTCTGCACGAGGCCCCACTGTGCACCTGAGTGCTCGCTTCTGACTCCACTCCTTTCCTTGAGACTCAGGACGATCTGAACTCTGGAAAATAGCACTCACAGAACAGGAAATACAGCAAGATGTCTATAGCAATTTTCTCCAGGACATTGGAGTGGTCTGTGATTATTATTATTATTTAAAGATTTTATTTGTTTATTTGAGAGGCAGAGTTACAGACACACAGAGAGGAGAGACAGTTCACTGTCTGGTTGGTTCACTTCCCAAATAGCTACAACAGTCTGAGCTGGGCTGATCCAAAGCCAGGAGCCAGGAGCTTCTTCTGAGTCTCCCACACAGATGCAGGGACCCAAGCACTTGGACCATCTTATACTGCTTTCCCAGGTCACAGCAGAGAGCTGGATCAGAAGAGGAGCAGCCAGGACTCGAACCAGTGTCCATATGGGATGCTAGAACTGCAGATGGAGGCTTAGCCTACTGTGCCACAGGACCAGCCTGGTCTATGATTTTTAAATGAACAAATGTGATCTTTCTCCATTATAAAGGAATATATGATGGCATGTAAATTATGTCTAAAAAAACCTGATTTTCAAAAAAAAGTAATACATGGCCCCAGCTTAACAATTTGTGGTCTTTCCTCCTTGGACTAATTTTTGAATCTCTTAACATTTCGGTTTACTAATCTATAACATAGGCAAAAATAATACTTCATAGCTTTGTTGCAAGGGTTAAGTGAGTGCACTATTCCTAGTATGTGCTGATTATTGGTTTTAAGTCCCTAGAGTTGGGGGCTGGTGTTGTAGCACAGCACGCTCAGCTGCTTCGAGTGTTGCTGGCATCCCAGCTGCTCTGCTTCTATCCAGCTTCCTGCTAGTGCACCTCAGAAGGCAGAAGAAGCCGCTGCATGTACTTCAACCCCTGCCACCCCCATGGGAGATCTTAATGGAGTTCCTGGCTCCTGGCCAGAGCTGGCAGTTGTGGCCATTTGGAGAGCAAACTCACGGAGGCAAGATCCCTCTCTGTCACTCTGCCTTTCAACTAAACTAAACTAAAGTAACTATTGTTATTAAAGAAATATAATAGACATATTTCCTCACCCGGGGCGGTATAGCAACTGCTGTCACACTCCACAACCTTCTTTCCACCTTGACGAATTTCTCAAACATTTTGTTACGATTCTGTGTCACCATTATAAGTAAAAAGATCATCTTAACAATTTTCAAATTTTTGTTTATCTGAGAGATGGATAGACT